CCAAAACACACCCGATCCTTGTGACAGTGGATGCTTTCCACCCAGGACTCTGCCATGAGGGTATTGAAAATGCAACTGTCACCAGGATCGGGTTCCTGTGTGGCCCGCTTCCTGTGGCAGTTGACCCAAGAAAGGAACATGAGGATGATGATGATGATGATGAGGGGGATGACGATAAGGATGACGATGATGATGGTGATGATGAAATTGAAACACCCAGGGCGACCCAAATCGCGAACCACACCGTGGCAAAGGGTGGGGAGGGGGGCGGGGCAAGGGGTACCAACCATTGGGGGGCCGAACCGCGATCATGTATGCATTCCATGAGGACATTCGGCCGAAAACTGTTGATTGGATTATGAAAACTTGACAATGGCGAGGCTGCATTTTCGGAGGACTGACCGGCGGTCTTCGAAGCTTCAAAAAGACATGGGGGTTGAACATCGTATACTGACCTCTTAGAAGATGCTTCAGCTCCCGGTAACATCGCAGTGGGTTGAACGAGCCGACTCGCTGAAGCCGTTTGCTCTCGTTGTTTCCGTTGAATGGCCTTGGGAGTGCGTGCAAACCAGACAGGAGAAGACGCTGTGTCCAGTCTTGCTGAACAATCCAAGACGACTTAACGTTGGTTGGAATGTGGGCGAGTGCGCAGTTAAAGCCGATACAGTAAGGATCGCAAAACCACCCTGAACAACACCGCCGTAACAGCATTGCCTCCTCCTTGGTCGGAATCTTGTTCGGCCGGAAGCCTCCCGCACCCAGCAAGCCTGGACGATGACAGCTACTCTCACTTGTCAGGATTCTAGGCTAGCTCATGCACACCTGGCAGGCCGTCAGCAAAGATGGCACCACGGCTGGCCAGTATCCTGAGGTGGTGCACTCACGCTACGTGCGTCTTCATGGTCATTCTGCTTCGTCTATGGGCGCGGTTCCTTTTTTCATGTGAGTCTTCTCCTCCCTAATGCAGCCATTGCAGTCTTTGCTGTTGAAGCGCCTGGCAGCGGACGTCCCACGGAAGAGCCCCTGCGGCCATACTTGCTCAAGACTGAGGCTGCACAGAGCTTTGGCTGCGAGGTTCCATTAGGGTTTCGAGTTTAGGGTTTAGAACCGTCGTTCGTATACTCTCGGCATTGGGATGTGTGGACCACGGGCTTGCCAGAAGTAACACTCATGCATCCAACGTGGTCAGGCTTGACATGGACAAGTGCAGCTCTTTGTCTTCCACCTAGCGGCCTAGCAGAACTGTGGATCGGGGTCCACTACCGGGGTGTTGCAGGCCCACCTGTTCAAACAAGTTCCTGCCGTAAGCTTGCACGTTATTTGGGCAATCGCTGGCTTAAACGAGACAGACCGGAATTTGCAAGAAATGCGATGTCAAAGCATGAGGTCGACAATGAGGCAAGCCGTGCTACGAGATTGAGCATCACCAACAACCCCCGAAGCACCTCATGAAGGACTCGGTCGAAGGACTCGATGCGCCGAAGGCGCTCCATGGACGAGGATGAACAGTCTAGGACGTATATCGCATGGGCATTAGCTTTTGAGCCGGAATTCGCACGGCCTGTTTGTTCTGTATAGCCCACGACTTAGGGCCATCTGCATGAAGCTGCTACCAGTAGGACTGCCACAGGACGGTTGCTCGTGTCCCAGTTTGCATGCGGCACATCAGCAGGTCTGTACGACTTCCGTCCAATGCAGCTACTACTCGGCGAGATGCTCGCAAACAAGTGTGCCAGCAGTGCACCAAAATCAGTCTCCGGTATTCGTCCGAGGACACCAACACAAAGCCATAACCCTAAACCCTAAACCCTGTTCCACAGGCTTGAACTGAGCTCGCCCGGCCAATTCCCTCGCAGCACATCGCACTCGAAACCCTAAAACCTCACCGCAGAGAGACCTCTGGCCTCCCATGAAATCCATGCCCCTGTCAAAAAAAAACCTCCTTCCAACGGAACGCATCAACTGGTCCAATCTTCTCGCCGAGCAACTCTTGTCCACCAACATTGACCATGCTCCGCTGCAAGAAACTGCTCCAAACCTTGTCGGTTGCAATATGATGCACTTTCTATGCCTTCGAGACCGTTCGCGAGACTCCATGGCTTCGTGGGCGTTTCGACGGCATGCCCGAGTCAAGAAGATCCACCAACAAAGGTTAAGTAATGCCCATTGCTCCTACCGTCCCACTTCGATATAGAGACAAGACCAGGGCTCAGACTTGCCTTCCGACTCATGAACTCAATATACGGCTTCGATAGCCTGTGCACATGGTGTCAACATGTCATGGAGCGAAGCTCACACAGCAACGAGCCTTGCCAGCTCGCGCTGAACACGCATCAGGGCACAGCGTCTCACATTCTCCGAACAACGAGCTCCAAATCAAGACCTGGTGGCATGCATCGGGAAGAGGTTGCTGTGGAGGTTCCCTTGGTCGGCGGTCAGCCCACAAAAAAGACAAGTTCGCACAGCTCTGGAACAGGCTATATCCTGCGTGCCAGGTGAGGGTGTTGGCACGCTCTAGAACTGCAGGGTCTGTGTGTGCATGTGTATGAACAGGAAGTTGTGCCTACTTTCTTAAGGTGGCAGCAAATGCTGAATCCTGCGACTACCCACAACCGCAGTGCTGCACAGTATGCTTTACATTGTGTAGTGATACGGCGCTCAGCTTCTGAGGCGACTGCGTGCGCCCACAACGCACCTTGGACTTGCAAGGAGTTGCCATTAGCAGTCAGATGCGGCCACTGCAAGTCACTGTTGCGAACCCAGGCGCAGCCATGCTAGAGTCGAGGCATTGAGCACATTGAGCCAGAAGGCCAACTTCTCTTCCTCAAGTGCATGTCAGGGAGCCGAAGGCCAAGAACAACTGCAAGACAATGCAAGGCATTTCGGTTTCATGCGCTCTCTGACTAGCTTTCTGTAATGTGGCTGGGCTTAGGCCGACATACATACCGCTCAGTTAAAGGATGCTGTGTTGCTTGCGGTGAGATGCTCCTGCCAGCACGCAGGTTTGTCGAAGCGTTATCGGGGCTTGCTTGGCGAGAACTTCTGTGTCGAGCATGAGTGGCGGCAGTAACATTCATGGGCGTGGTTGGGTATTCTCGGAAGGCTCGATTGATTTGGTTTCATGCCGTGCTGTCAAAGCCGAACGCGCGGCACACCCGACATGCCCTGCCGATGCCTTGGCTGCTCTTGTGTGATTCGGTGTTTTGTTGCTTGGGTTGGTTCTTCCAGTACTATGCTCTCACCCGTCGCCAAATGAATGAGACAAGCATCGTGCGTCAACTCTGCAGGCTGACATGCTTGGAGCTCACCTGGGTTCCGAGTCGCATCATAGACCTAGTTGGCATCGCCGGCAAAGAACCGCAGCCACATCAACATCAACCAGTTGCGCGTGTGACCGTGGAGATTCTGATCAGCAATTCTCTCGGTGTGAAAACAGTAGCGACTACAATAAACAAATCATCCATGCAAGATGTGTGGAGTCGCTGTCGAACATGCAAACGATGCCCGTGCAAGAACCGAGCTATGAGCAGTTCGCTTTAGACTTCGAGTATGACGACGTCGACCGTGATGAATCAAAACAGTATTGCTATCAGTCCTTCATTTGTTTCTGTTGGGGGTTTTCCTTGCATGCACATACCTATGTACCTACAACTGCCGCCCACCTATACCGACTCTATCTACCTATACCGACCTTTAACTAGCTGGCTGACTACCTACCTGACCTACCTGGCCTAGCTCAGCGCAACAGCAACACTGGAGCATCTGATCACGGTGACAACGCCCAATAGGTAGCGACGACACTTGATTTGTGTCCAGTCTAAGCCGCAGTGCAGGCTCCTATGTGCATCTGGTAGACTAGCACAGCGCAGTCCAGTCTTCGACAGAATGCGGAATGACTATATCCTGCTTCTGTTGTTCACCTTTTGCATCGTTGGCTGAACCGCCAACTTGTACGGGGTCGATGCCAAAATAAAACGCAGGCCACGGCGATGTTCATTCATATACACTGCCAATCATACGGCACTTCTGCCCGCAATCCTAATGCCCAAGGGGCCGAAACGTCTTCGCAACTCGGCGACCAAAGGGGATGGCTCGCCTGCCTCGACCCGCGGACCTGGCCAGTGTGCTCGGGCACATTCAGGGTCTTCCGGAACTCTTCCTAGGGGGGGGGGCTGAATGGAGCAGCATACATCTTCTGGAAATAATGACTTGCACCTGCAACAGACTCAGGAGAATCACACATCCAGGAGCTTTCTACGTTTCGAATCCTGGCCGCGGCTTTAGTTCCTATGGCGTGCTGATCACCTTAGGCCTCCTCTGGCACATTGCGGTGCTACAGTTACAACAGCATATCAGTCAGAGGAGGTAATTTTGTTGAAGCTCGCATGATGAGGCTTCCGTTCTGCCATCGAGGACCCTGGAGAATTGCACAAGCCACTCACTGACATAGCATTCGAATAAGGTGGAAGCCGACAGAAGAAAAAACCTGCCAGTGTGCCAAGGTACGAGTGGGGCTCAGGTGGCTTGTAGAGCTCAGGACATTGGGATCGCTGTTGCGGCCCTGCTTCCGTGATCTCTCCGAGGTCCTCTCTGGTGAAATCGCAAGAGGAGAACGAGTGCCAAAGCTTCGCGAAGGGCTCACCGACAAAGACAGGGAAGGGCTTACCGACAGGGAGGCCAAGGTGGCGCTGCGACGGGGTCTCCGCCCTCCTCTCAAAGGAGACAGATGCTCTGGGAAGCTCTCCTCTGAAGGTGCAACGCTGATGCTCGTGGCAGTGCGAGAGAAGCGCACCCGCTTGCAGCCCCCCTCTGTGCCGGCATGTCGTACCCCCTCCCTTTGCAAGTCTTCCGTTTGCACAGCTTGCAAGCACATGAATGCTCGTCGAAGCAGGTCTATAGCCACCAGGCACGGGTGCCGAGGTGTCTTCAAACACCGATTGAGCATATTGAGGACGGGCATCTCCACCGCCTCGACCTCCTCGAACTCAGCCTTCCAAAAACTTGACATGTCTACCCCCTGACACGACACAAGATGCGGATGCCCTGGCTAGACAGCGCAGCACCCTGCATCGATCGGCCCGTCTTCCAAGTCCAGCGGCAGAAACCGAAAACAAAAGAAAGCCTGTATACGCCTGTTATGGTGGAGCAGCTGTAGAAATGCTGAACTAACAGATGTTCGGCTTCATGAGGCCCGTTACATTCAACACCTCCTCAGCATGTTCAACGGCTACTTACAAGATTCTGGGTCTGCATGCCCATCACGCTGCCTTGCCAGAGCTTCTAAAATTCGAAACGCTCGGCCAAAGGCCGGAGGCGATCTTGTAACTTAGACGCTCAGATCCCCAAGCCGCAATTCCTACTGTAGGGTCCCACAGGCCCAGCAAAGCTCAAGACACGTAATTAAGAATGTATACCAAGCAGCCAACAGCTCCCTGTCCGATTCCAGTTCTCCGAGACGCTGCGTCACGGCTTCCATCTCCCTTCCACGAGCAAAGCACGAGGGGAGCACGTTGCACATCGACCTGGGCACGGGCTGGCGGTTGCTCATGCAGGCATGGGCTTGCGCAGGCGTTGTCGCTACCTCGCAGCCAGCTCCGTTCTAACATGAAGTGCTCACAAGGCGCACCCGTTGTCCTCTACAGCTTACTGGGTCCACCCATACCTCTCTAATCACCAGCGACCCCCCGGGTTCACAGATCCAGAAGCCCTCTGGCTTTCGCTCTTGAAGGAGGGCTTGACCAGCGAAGTACGCGATTTGGGCGGTGATTGGGTTGTTGCGCACGGAAATCTCCGTGTCCCTGCAGTTCAGTGAGTTTCGATTTACTCGGGGTTTCTTCCCATTTGCATGTAACAGCTTTCCTTGTTGTTTGCTAGGTTTCTTCGCTTCCTTAGCATTTTGACACATTCCTACCCGTTTGAGGAAAAGCTTGTTGAGGGGTGATTGTCCTGAAGCTAGCTTGCCGCAAAGGTGCTTGTAAGAGCTGTGTCTTGTATTTGTGCCAACCTAGTCGGTCCAAACCAAACCTCGCGGATGACACCACCCAGCCCAAATGCCGAAATTGATCTCATGTCTTCGCGGAGACCTCATGACTTCAGACCAGTGAGTAGAAGCACAACTTCTGTCCCACCACTTCTCCCGGCCACTACAAAGCCCTCTTGACGTTTTGGAAAGGACATCTACAAACGGCTTGTCACTTGCAACGTTACCAAATTCATGCGACATCATGCCTTGCGTGGAAGACGAGTGCCAACCAAAGATGCGGATCTAATCTGCAAAACCTTGTCCCAACTACTGCCTGGGGCTGCTTCGGCTGGCCTTCCCTGAAAGCTCCGTCTGACTTGACCCCTGTCCACGCTGTTTCACTCACAAAGCCTGCAACATCTCAAGCTCGCTATTGGCGTGCCCATATGTGCGAAGCGAGGTGAGAGAGGAATCTACGGATGCACACTCTTCCGTCCCCCTCCTTTGGAGGGGGTCTTAAGGCTTGAAAAAGGCATAGACCGGAAACTCGAAGCTGTCGAGCATGCTTCGCTCCCAGCGGCAGGCTGAGCCCAGTGGGAGCCCAGTCCGTGGGTGGATGGGGGCCTTGCGCTGAAAGGCGTGCCCGGCGATCAGGATCTCCGATTCGCCCCAGCCATCCGGCTTGCCGCTCCGGAAGCTCTCCCTTGGATCCCAAACTTTCCAAGGACCAGTATAGCAGCTACTTAGCAGGTATTTGGGCCCCAAAAGTATATACTATACTATTCCTTGGACCCTTTGGGGATTTGGGGTTCAAGGACCCACCTACCGGGCTGCAAGCCTTAAGACCTGACCATGCGCTCGCGACGGCATTTTTTTCCACCCTGAGGTCTTCGTGACACCGTAGAAAAACCCCATAGTAACCCCAAAACCATGGTGCACTGTCCAAATGGGCAAGGCTCCGAGGCAGCCCGAGCTCATCTGCCGTGGCATCTGACACCTCTCGGAGCTTCGTTGATTTGCTTTGCTACAGCCTGTGTAGGAAATCTTGGAAAATCTCACACGCAGATATAGACTAAGTACAATTCTTCCAGTGTCCTACACTGTAGAGCCAAGCCCACGCTTCTATCTGCACTTCAGACTCTGCAGGTGCCTCGGAGGACGCGGCGCCATAAAGTGTTACCCAGTCCTGAGACTCGGTAACAAACAGAAAAACGAAACCGCTTAGTTCTTGCTTCGTGAATCGGCTCAGGGCGGTTCAGGATTCGGAGCCTTTGAGCCTGGGCGATGGGAGCGGCTTTGACATTCCGTGCTCACGAACCCTGGGCCTTATACCTCAGCGAAAGGCCAAACAGCCAGCAGTTGAGACACGGGCACAGGCAAACACACCACAGAATGACCGCATCTTCGAGACGGGTCGAACTTCGAAGACAAGAACTCCTGCATCCAAACACACGACTTGTCAGCCGATGACTTGGACCATGAACCCTATCTTCAGCAAAAGTATGGAGACGTATAGTGTGTATAAAGACCGCGCTCACACACATAGAATATGCTCCCAATGCAGATATATATGCAAATTGGTCAGCGCTCCAGCAGTACAATCGACCAAGTGACCGGTTTGAAGATGTTGGAAACTGCGCAGCACATCACCTCAGTCTTCGTCGCGAGTGCCTGTCTTTTGGTTCGACTCTTCGGGGGTTCTGTGACTATGGTAAGGCGCAGGACGGTGGCTTACACGTCCCGAAATAGGGACGAACAGATCGGACAACTTTTCTGGATGGCCTTGCCCTCCTGCTGGCGTTCCCTTACCAAGCGCAGCCAGCGGCAGCACCAGCCTTTTCGCAACATGCGCACGTAGTATGTGGTTCATGGGCTTGCCTCCTAAACTGAAACCTGATATCGTGCACAAGGAAGGCAGGCCAGGCAGAGAAGCAGTAGTGTGGCTCAGGATTTCCAGATGTGTTGCGACGGCTGAGAACCTAGATAAAGATCATGATCAACACGGCGCTGCGCTCTGTCGGGGTCCCACATGCGCGCATTGTGTTTTGAGCTGGGAAGCAACTTCCTACAGGTATGGCCGATGGTTAGCATATTCAACATTCCCTGAACCTTCGATGTACTGACCAAGCAGCAAACATAGCTTTGGCCAACTTCCGGATAGCAGATTTTCGTGCGGGACTCCACCATAGATCTCCACTTCTCGTCCTGCTCCGACAAGTTTGGCACGGGAACCTGGCTGGTTCTGATCATCGGGGATGCAGTGATAAAGTGTGCACGTGCCGCTGTCCCACCCATGGGATGAAGCCACAACAACTCCATATTAAGCCTCAACAGCAACCGCAAGATACGGCAAGTTTGCCGAGATATCCAGATAACTCCCAGAGCAAATCAGCACAACACTTCCGACGAGAAGCCTTGTCTCGGCCACAGTCATGGTTTGGGTGCACCCAATCTCCTTGGCGCCCGCCCATGATGACAGCTTGTGACTTACCAGCTTTGCTGAGCTCATTGGGCTCCGAAGCAATGAAGCGCCAGAAAGTCACCGAGATCGGCGGCGTGTCCCCACACCAGTTCATCCCCAAACCACACCGTCGAGATACCTCAAGGTTGTATGGTCATGGGCAATGAATCTGGGTTGGGGAAGTCTTCAGACTGGTTCAGAGCAAGCAGTGGCCGTCAGAGTGCTCCATCTGAGACTCACTTGACTCAGCGCTCTTCCAACATCTCAAGAACTCTGTTCGAGCCAAAGGCACCTTTGTCTCCGCTCTCCCTCCTCATGTTCTTGCTGACCTGCCGGTGTGCAGCTCGTCTGTGCAGCTGGCACGCTGCGGGTGCAAGATCCCACGGAGACTTCAGAAGGGATAATGTAAACCCTGAAAACCCAAAAAAGACCTCAGCATGGACCGAAAACCTCCCTCGGCGCAGCTCCTGATCGTAGGCCTGGCCCCCAGGAATGGAGGCCCCAGATGTCTGGAAGCGCACCCTTTCAGGGAATTGTTATTGATGGTGCAACATGACTTTCCTTCTGTGCTTAGGGCCTAGGGTGATGACAATGATGATGCCATTGACAAAGTCCTCTGCTTCCTGCGTCTGATCGGACGATACTCTACATGTAAGCTGGCAGTGAACCTGCTTCAGAAACCCTAGTGTTGAGGATTGTCACAACTTCCAGCTACCTGCGCAGCAGCGTTAGCATTTTGACCTTCAGTCAATGGCTCAGCCAGGAAGGAGCAAGCAAAGAAAAGCTATACGCTGGCTGCATGCCGTCTTTTGCGATCTCGAGATCTTCTCATATCTTCTCCATGCCGCGCATGTCACTGTGGACCGTGCGGCGATGCAGGGGACTCATTGAGGTTTCGCCATTTTGGAGGGGCTTCTTATTGAGTTGGCTTTCAAGGGCCGCTCTTCCTGGGTGAGTCCCTCTCGCTGGAAAATTCTAGATGAGGACTGGCCAACTCACAGCACTCACGTATACCACGGCGCCTTAGACGCTTCAATAGTCTCACGAAGTGCGAGTTGAAACCTTGACATCGACACGGTGGAAATCTCACTCGAGCTTCGACATTTCTTCCACCAACTCTTTACGAAAGAACTGCAACATCTCTGTCTCATGCTGGAGACGCCTCTTCATACCTTCAATGTCTTCACCAAGCCCCCGCCGAAGCCACCGCTCGATGATCTTCAACTGCACTTTTTCCTGAAATCCCAGACCGTCTTGGTTCTTGGAGAGCATCAGCTGAACCTCAACCACCCCAGAAGCCAACAGTTGCATCTTGTCTTCAAGCTCGCTGGCCAACCTCAGGATCTTGCGAAGCTCCGCTGGCTTCGGGGGGTACCCACAGGAACCGCATCCCAGCCCCAGAGCTGTAGCATCGGTCTGCGTTACATCCACCGCCCACCGGAAAGCATCTGCAAGCCCGTGTCTTGGAAATTTGGAACTCCTCTCCACCTCTTTACCAAACTTGAATGTCATGCTGATAATGTCCTGAGCTGTGCTGCCCAGACCTGGCACCGAAAAATTCGGACCAGGGGGAGCCTGCAGGGCCCAAGCCACGCAAGCCGCCACACAAACCAGGAAGCGCTTCCGAGCATCGTGCGTGGGACGTGCGAAGGAGGACTCGGCCATGGCTTGCCTACGCCAGGCCGATAAGACCGAAAGTCTGAAGCATGTGGGATGGAAGAAGTGCATGGACTTCAACCAGTCTAAGACCAGCCACCGATTGCACATGCATGTCTGGGTTCATGCACCAGCTTCGATGCTTTCAGTCTGCGCATACGAGTGCGCGGATCTCACTCGCCCAGCTCCGACTCTTTGAAGCAGGACACGCTCCCCTCCCCCTGCTCCCGTTGAGAAAAGCTCTCATCACACAGTCAGCAAGAGCAAAACTGCACCCAACGCATGCAACTATGCAAGCTTAAGGAAAGAATCCGGGCAACATCAACCCCAGGTGCCTCATGTTCGGGAAGCATGTAGGGCTGCTGTAGTAGGTGAAGATGAGACCAGAGCCAGCAAGCCGGCTGCACTCGGAAAGGAAGCCTTTGTCGACCTGGCCCCGTTGCTTTGAAGGCCCAAGCTTCGGTCTTCAATAGGAGCTTGCGTGTACCCCTTATTTGTTGGTCTGTCTCTTCAATTTGCACAGAACGATGCGATGCATAGCCCAGCCGTACATACATTGCCGATGCATCTCCTGCACCTCTATCTTACGGACTGACTAACAAACTCACTGACTGAGTAAGTCAATTAGTCAGCTTTCTGTCGTTTGGTCTATTTAATTAGTTTCGACTCGCACACTCGCACAAGCAGGCACGGATTCCTGGTTCGGGAGTTTAGTCTAGTTCAGTTAGTTAGTTAGTTAGCTAGACCGCGAGTCGTGACAACACAGAGGGCCATGGGAGGCCACGGGGCTAGAAGGAGTGACTCCAAAGGCGCCCGTAGCCTAGAGCCTGGGACCGGACAGGAAAGTACCCCTGGGCGGGAGCTCGGCTCAAAATTGGCCTATCGTTTCTACAGTAACAGCTTTCGCAGAGATTCAGGGATCGGCCAGTGCTCTGGGCTGCAAAGATACTGTGGAACTCCACCTGGAGGCTCTTCGAAGCGAGCTTCCCCAGCCAGGAGGCCCTCGTCCTGCGCATGGAATCAGAACTTCTTACACTTGTTCTGGCACCAGACAGTGCATGCGCTTCTGTTGGAAAAGGGCTGCACCTGTCGGACTCGACTATGACTAGGTATGAATGTGTCAGCTTTGGTCAGCTGCTGCTTCACGCGCCCAGGATTCCGTTACCCCGAGACCCTGAGCCTGTGCACAGCCTCCAGCACAAAGTTCCGGTCCCCTCTCAGATCGGTCGGTGCATCCTCCGGAGCGGTGTGGGTTGCTTCACGGAGCTATGCTTTACAAGGGCGCCCAGGGGCTTTCCATCACAGCATCAGGCGGGCAATGTCTTCCTTTCAGGTCATGCCCCTCGTTGGTCGCATTGGGCTTCCAGGCGTATCACTCTAGCACACAGCGCTTTGACCTTGCTTAGCCGACCTTAAACGGCTCTCCCCAAATTCACCCCAGACTTGCTTCCAAGAAAAGGTCCAAGATCTCACTCCAGCCCGGAACCCATCAACTCCTAAGCAGGCACCTCCAGGGAGCAGCCATCTCTCATGATTCGGGCCAGCCACTCCTCCCGCAGCATCTCCTCCAAACGAAGCATCTGAGGAGACCTTGAACCCGGAAACTCGCCGTGATGGTGCTGCGATCGTCATATATATATATATATACAACCACACATAGTAGGCGGACGCATTCGGCGACGACGGACATGAAGGCTGCCTCAACAACCTGGAACACTGCGGGAGAGGGTATGCCCGAGAAAAGCCTGCAGCAGGCCTGTCCGCTGCAAGCATCATGCTTATCATGTGCACTGCAGCCATGAAGGTAAAACGGAACGAGTTGTCAGAAAGTCTGGCCTGATGCGGGCTATTGGGTAGGTCGAGACTCAACAGCCCAGGAACTGCCTCCTGGTTTCCGATGCCAGTATGCCTTCCCACACAGCTTCGCTTAAGTCCCTGCAATGAACCTGAGACTCGTCAACCCCGACAGAAAGGGTACCAAAACCCCAAAGAAGGCGAAAATCTCAAACTCTGCTTGCTGTAGATCAGACGCATGAACCACCGGCAATAAACGACCTGATGCCCAGAACTCATCGCGCAAACGACCGGTGACGTCCGGCTATTTATACACGGCATGTTGCCAACTTTCATCAGTTCTGACCGGAAACCTTGCGGAATTGTAGCATTCCGCCAATGGCAGTTAGAGATCAGAAGGGCCGAAGGGATTGCGGCAAATTATGAATACTGTCAAGCATGTGCTTTAGCATGCCCAGAAACCAGGCCATACTTCTTCCACACTTCTTCCTCCCTTGCAAGCAGCTGGGACGAAATTCGTCTATCCGTCCTCTGCCCTTCGGGCTGCTGAGGCGTAGAGGTAGCGCTTGTAGCTGTCTGCTAGGCCGCCGCTCGCGCCGGATCCCATAGCATCGTGCCGAAGGCACGGGTAGAGCCTACAGTGTTTCAAGGTCCGCACATGTGCGGTTAGGTCAAACCACCAAGATCGCAGTCTGAAGGACTCGAAGCTACTGACTTGAGATCTAAAGCGGAATCTTCTGAACTCCGGGTGCTTGTTGACTGAAACTTCTTCTACAGTCGTATCACAATTTATTGCTCAAGTGTGCGTGGGCGGCGTGACCGTTTTCATGTATGAACACTGCACATATGTGGCGCTGAACTTCCTTGCGCATTGTTTGGTCCTACCTGCTGTCAGAGCATGCGCGAATGGCTTGATTCATATAACCCTTGTGCTAAGAACCAAGTTGCTGACTTGAGCCAGACATGCAATGATGCGCACAGCTGCTTGAACACCGCACTGGGCGAGTCACTTGCCAAGACACACAGGCTGCTTCACAACCGCAGCTGCAGACGCGGATCGTGGTGCCGAAGTACAGCCTCAAGTGTGGTCTTTGTCGTGTCTTCTGCCCACCATCCCATCATCGTAGAAGATGTCAGTAGCATGACAACAAGCAGCCAAGGCCAAACCGCACGTGATCGAAACCACTGCAGTGCTGCAGTCGGATGCACTTGGGAACCAGCAAAACCGGCAAGTCAAACCAAAAGGTTGCCACTACTGCAAGAGAATGACAATCAAAGCAGCAGCGAGAGTTGCGAGCAAGCTTGACAACAAAATTAGCTTCCAAGTTTGCGCACCATGACCCAGCAAGCAAGTAAAATCTCATAACTCGATTGATCTAGCACTACTGCGCGAACGTGATCAGCAGTCTAGAGTATCCCCGGTCCGTGACGAAATCTCCGAAAGGTAAACCGTAAAGCATGGTCTGAGAACAAGGTCATTCCCTTAGAACGATTTCGAGTCGCGCTTCGGGGGACTTTGTTAATGCACCCCGCACAAACTTTCCAAGAAAGCGAGTACAGAATTACACGCTCGTGACGAGAGAAGGCCTGCTAAACTAGAGACAAAACCTCATGTTTGATACCGCCACAAGCGAAAGCAATCAAGCTCGGGTACTTCTTTCCTATCTCATCCAGTGCCAGATAATGTAGTTGGCTGAATAGTGCCCTTCCGCTCGACACTCCGAAAGCAGCGTCAAGCCGGACCCCGCATGGCAGACGGAGCGACCACCCGCACCAGCAGCGCACCCCTCCAGAAAGTGCTCAAGCATCTCTCTCTGCTGCTTGGGCAACCTTTCACGAAAACTTCGATCCGCGACGCTGCTGCATCTCATGCTCCTCTCCTATCGTTGATACCGCCGGTTTTAACTGCCCCTTCTTCTCCTACTCCTGCCCCCTTCTCCTAAGTCAGCTGCTACTGCTGCTGCTGTGACCACTGACTACCAGTGCCCTGATAAGAGCCCCGTTTGGAAGCTTTCGGCGGATCGCCTCGCCTCGCTGAAGCCTCCGATGTGGCGAAAGCTGACAGCAGTTTCGGGGCCCAGGAGCAGCTGCGGCCTGTCAGGTATTGTCGGCGACTTTCCTGTGAAGCTCGCGGGGCATGAACGACTTCGAAGGTTGTCTCCATTTTGCCACGCAGTCAGTCTTCCTGAACCATCGCCACGAAAGGCAACCCTACCGACCTCGGAGCCTCAACTTGTCGCGCCTTGTCCCGACTCGCTGACCAACTGCGCTTGCGACTTGAATGCCGTGACGAAGGCGTCCACACACGAAGAGCAAGGTGCTGCTGCAGACTGGCCTGGCAGGAAGGCGCTGTTGGTTGTTCTGTTTGGTTGTGGGAGTCTTGCGCTGCTGGTGAAACCGGACAAAGCTTTGTCAACGTCTGGGAAAGCACTGATGATTTCCTCTGGGAGAGGCACCTCTCTGCAACTCCAAAAGGCTGCGTTTTGCAGCCTTTGTCTCGCGGCGAGTCTCGCCAAGTGTGAGCACTGTTGCTCCGCCGCTGTAGTCCACCCTGTATGTTGCATGCCTCTTGGATCTTGGGATCTAGGATCTGAAGCTTGGCATCAGATGCTTTTCTAACCCTTTCAGATCCGAAGGCAAAGGAACGACTGCACACCTGAGCTCTTCGGAAGCATTTGGCTGGCCTAGCTACATAAGCTACATAAGCCATTGATTGCCATTGCCTTAATTCAGAAGTTGTCCGAAGGAGCTCTGCATGCGGGAACAACATGGAAAAACGCCTTGCAAAAAGGGACCGTGCAAAGTACAGGTAGCACTCCATGATAAACAACAATCAACAGAACAAGTTGAACTCTGCCGCCGTCCCAGGCGTCCTCGAGGTAAAGCGAGATCGTCATGTCGGCACCGAGATGTTCCCTCATCGATCTCTGTGCTTGCGCAATCTATGCCGCAAGATTCGACAAGACGCGCCACAGGTAGAGAGTACACAGCAGGTTTGGTCTCTTACAGACCTGCGGACCTATAGTCTTGTAATCAAAGCCGTTCGTGCAAGAGGCGCTGTCAACCGGCTGTGCACATGAAGTCGGGAAATGTATAATTTGATACACAAAGATCAGCAAGTTGGCGAGCCGCACATGCAGTGACAGACGGAAGCAGACCCTTTCGCAGTCTGGACGCGCTTGCGGCCAAATGCGGGGTCCTTGGCACTGTAATTGCGGGGCATCGCTTTGTGCACCTAATTGACGTTGATGGACGAAAAAGGACAGTGCACCGCGTCGTAATTGAAAAAGCTTGCGGCCGTGTCCTTAGAAAGTTGGTCTGTCGCGGCATGAAAGCACAACTTCGCACTTGCAGCAGGCTTGGTTCGCGCATACATTCAAGAAAGACATTTCAGCCATGCACGGTGCTCATCAGGTCACTAGGTCATATCTCCCGCAATGCCAAGAACAGGAGTAGTCCAAGCGTGGCTGCGCATCTCGTGCGTTCCAGGTCCTTTGCTCCAAAAGACTCCAGGAGCAGCAGTCTTGTTAGGTCGCCGCATCCCTCCGAAGAAAGACTAACAGTTCGCCACTAACCCGAATGTCCGAATATCTGAATGCCACAAACCATAGAGGCTGGTGGAAGGCGGTGGGTTCCTAATTAGTTCTGTCTTGGGGTTGTGCTGCAGTAGGTAGTGGGATGAACGGGACTTTGGAATACCCACCAAGCATAAAGATCTTAAGCGGCGCCCAAGGGAGACAGTGCTGCCCCGCTTTAATCAGCTCATGCCGGTCATGCTTCCTTGCGCGTGCACCGGATTGACAAACCTCCTCTCGAGATCCACTCAGAGACTCGGAAGTAAAACGAATCTGTTGCGATCGGCTCATCGTGTAGTCGAAAGCAAGGTCAAAGCTTCTCGAAGTGACAAGACTTGAACTTCTCCGCTGAGGAGTTGAAAGACTTCATCATTCTTTACACCAGCCGACCTCGCGACAGCAAGCGCAGTTCGGCCTCGAGACGTCTGCTTCAGGGGGTCCACACGTTCTGAGAGGAGCAGACGGATGATCTCGATGTCGCCCTGGGCAGCAGCCACATGCAACGGGAAGGTTGTTTCTGGCCGCTTCCAAAAATAGCATGCCGCTTGCTGTGTGTTCTTGGGCTCGTCCACTTCCCGCCCGAAGCCGTTCTCGACAAGGAACTGATCCAGCATCTTCCTCCTCTGCCGTGTCGATGCACGGACGGGTCGGGAATCGACACCATTTCGATCCCGATGGGGATGGTCGGTATCGGTTGTGAGCTGTCGCGCTTGGGGAATGAGTGTGCCTGGGAGGATTACCTTTTGCATGCTGTCGTCGTTGTCGTTGGCAATCAGCCCCTGTTGTCTGGCGACAAAATCGAAAGTCGTGAATCCCAGCTGGGCAAGGTGGCACGATGGAAAACACGCCTTCCGCTCCAAGTCGTCTCCATTGCTATTCTGCTGAAGCATCGGTCAAGCTGGCTGAAGGAAGCACAGAGAGGCTGGCAACGAAGGCCCTTGAACCGAGAGGACGCCAAGGACATGACTCGCATGAAGTTTTGCCTGGATCAATCTGCACTTCGTCTGCAGGGCAAGAACCCAAACCCAGCAAAAACAACGATTCTTGGGAAGCCCTGCCTTGAAACTCGATGCCCTTGCCCCCGGCGAGGCCAGTGGCCCTGCAAGTCGCTTGCGGGTTCCAGAGATTCCGTGGTGCTCAACATGCTCTCTCTCTCTAGGGCTACGGGCAGCAGGGTTTCCCTCTCTCTCTCTCCCTCTCTCTCTCCAGTTTTTTCAGACTTTGCTGTAGGGCGAAACACGGGTGTGCACCCCACACGGAGGTCGTGACCTATGGTTGCAAAAACAGTCCACAAGCTCAGCGCCTGAAGAAAGTCCAGTCCGGAGCCGGTATGATCCAAGCCTACTTCTGGTTTTATGGGAACCGCTGGCACATGCACCAGGCTCCCGACCTTGCTGCCGTGACGAGCCACAGGGCTCTATCATTGCCTTTCTAAGTCAATAACAATAAAAAGCATAATAATAATAATAATAACAATAATAGTAATAATGATAATAATGGTAATCATAATTAACAGTAAAAATAATACTGGACAACCCTGCGTGGCGCCTCTGCCAGGTGGCCACATGCGTCCTGGAGCTTGCCGCGGCCACGCCGTTCCACTCCTCCGCGCTCGCCGGTGTGGTCAAAAAATAACCCTAGCATTCTACCAGGTTACCAGGGCTGTTGTTTTCCAACCTTCCAAATCCACTCCACGAACGAGTCAACTCGGCAATTGCACAAGGCATGGAATCCGACTTATCCTTCGTGATCGTAGACACTACTGAGTGGCCACTACTGCAATACATCAGGGCAAGCAAACAAAGAAGCGAACAATCAAGCAAACAAATCATACGTATATGCATGCAAACGAAATGCAGACATACATACTGACAAAACAAAACCAAATAATACCCTGTACGCAACAAAACCAGCACACAAATGAGCAGACAAACACACACACACACACACAAACAACAAATGCACAAACCCAACCCACCCACACACACACACACAAAACAGCACACTTACAACACAAATGCAAACATACCACGAAAACAGCCAAGCAAACAAACATAAACTAGACAGCAATTATCCCGAAAGCGGTGATTGTGTGACATGTGTATTTAGAAACGTGTTGGGGATATAGTTTAGGCAGACAAGTGCATAGTGCAAGTAGCGTAAGTAGTGTACAGTAAGTAGTTTTGTACACATCGTTTTGACCTCGCTCAGACTCTGCCATTGGCAGAGCCTTCGGGAAAGGCCAACAGAGCAACGGTTGCCAGGCATATGTATTGGCATCGTGTTTGTGCAACTACTTGATGCTATTAGCTTCATAGCCCGGGGTAGGTGCGGCCATTACTACTACTACTACTACTACTACTACTACTACTACTATTGTTGCAGCTACTACTGCTACTACTGTTACTACCAAATGCCAGCATGGTTTGACGCTGAAGCTTGCGAAGATGGATGAGAAAGCAATTAATTAGGAATTTAAATAGGCTGGTATTTGAATATTACCGTAGGAATTTACTTAGGCTAGTATTTACATGTAAGTCAGTGTACAGAAGTCAGTGTAGAAGGTGTAAGTAAGCATGTCAGTATAGAGCCCTGAAGCCCTAAACCCTAAAACCCTAAACCCTAAACCGTGTCTGCGAGGGGGCCTCGGCCTCAGGACCTTCGGGCGCGAAAGAAAGCTGCAACTCAAGCGGCGGAGCACCTCCCGTGCTTGTGACCGGGAGATGTCAGGGTACCCAAAGGCTCCTAAGTAGTTCATATTTAGAATCCTATAAGGTAATCCCAAAAAGGAACTACTAAGGAGCCTATGGGTAGGTACTACAAGGGCAAGGGCTTCTTGCTCACTGAGCTTGCTTCCTTGAGAATGCCGTAAGAAGGGACTGCAAGCTGAAACACTTTGTGGGCCCTGAGTTGAAAGATGCTCTTTGTGTTCGACTGCCGCCTGGGCACCCGACGTGCAAATGCAATCCGCAACTAAAGTTGTCTTGAGCTCGTGCGATCCAGGCAACCTTACGAACCCGGGGGCGACGAGGCTGCAATTCGATTTCCAACCAGATCAAGGCTACAAGTAGGATCTCAAATTTATTGATCTCCATTGTCCGTCCTGGTTTCACCGGTGGTTTGACCTTCTACGAGACTGGAACCTGATAACACCATCGAGGTGCCACCACGCCCTCCTTGGCCACGATAAAGCGATGCTTGACCTGTCCCAGCGTCTCTGTTCGGGTAAATGTATTGAAGGCTTCACAAGACAAAAGCTTGTCTGGGCCGGGGGGCTCATCTGTTCGGAATTTCTCTGCAAGCATCGGTCGCAGATGCCATGAAGTCTAGCAAGGCCATGTGTGGCATGGGTTCCACGCGCGCTGGATCGCATGCGTGTCTGGCTTGCACCTGTCAGACTCGGCGTGTCCTCTGGCAGGTCGGGGGGGCAACTGGCGAAGCTGGAGCGCTGCACCTGGCAAGGGCTGTGTGCTTGGAAAGTCGACGAACACAGCACTTTCGTTTCATCTCGAATGCGTGAGACAGACACGAGCACCAGTGAATTAACGTGAAACAGTGGAACATCAAGCCGTGAGGAACTTCAGATGCGGCACAGACTGGAATGAATCCGTGGGATGGTCGGTGGCGGCCCTTCCCGGCGCTGCGGCAGTGCCTGAATCATGGAGCACTAGACAAGGCAACGATGGCCGAAGGAGCCCTTGCACTCTCGCTTGATTCCAATATCTTCCAAGACCATGTGGGGGTTTCCAAAATAGGGGACCCTAATATAGTACCCTAAATAGTAGGATCCCCTATTTTAAGGACTCCAAAATAAGGTACCCCCGTATTTTCGGAAATTCCCATGTCCAAGTCTACCACCACTCCCCGTCCAGTCGGCGAGCTCCCACGCACCCACCGGATCTGCAAGTGCTTTCTTGGAACTCCTTTCATCCAGCTTTTCCATTCCTTTCATCCAGCTTCCAAGTTCCTTCTGCATCAAGAGCATCCCGGACTGAGCATTGTTGCAGAGATCCTACTCAGGACTCTCTCGGGAAGATGCTCTCTGAAGATTTCCCTGCTAGGGCACCAATGCCTCGCCAACATGGCAATCACCCTCGACTTCAAAACACCCGAAGGTCAATTGCTCCTTCTCCTTCTCGCGGGGCCTTCGACAGGCAGTGATGGCTGAAGTTGTTCCTGGACCTCAGTTTCGAGGTGCCGAGCCGGAACGCAAGCCCATAAACCTGCTTACTGGCTACATCCTGGTTGAAAGGGGCACTTGCGGTGCAAGAATTTCAGCACTCCCAAAGCTCTATGCACAAATCCTGTGATGAATTCTTGCACCCTTCGTGCTATGAGCATGTGCATAAAACGGAAGTCCAAACATGCTAAAGGCAAAGGGTATATAGGGTTGATAGGAGAAAGGGCCCAGAAAAAGTCTCCACGACCCATGTAGATGCGGAAGTTCGCCGCAGAAAGCTTGTGTGCTCCCACACTCGGACTCGCCTTCCACTTTAGGATCCTGGGGTTCTACCTGCCAGTCTGGACAGGGCAGCACTCCATGTTGGGAATGGCGTGCAGCTTAATAGGGAAAACGAGAAAACAAGAGTTGCTGGCCGAAAACTATGGGGAGGAAGAAGAAGAAGAACGTCACTCACATGATGCACACCTGCATTTCGGTCCACGTGTCGATGTCATTTAAGCGAACGAGAGGCGCATGGAATAAAAACAACCGTCCCCTCTAAAACAAATCGCGGTAGCCAAGGAACTAAAGCCTTCTCCAGCACAGAATCGCCTAAGCTCAATGGCTTCGGGGGATTCAACGGCACAACGTGCCGCAATGTGCTCGTGGCTTTTCAAGCACACCTAAGGTCGGCTTCAAACGAATTCAACCTTGCAAACTATGGCGCAGCCTTCCGCATAGGGCGCTTCTGCAAAAACACTTCCACGGCAAGCTTCAATAATACTTCAGCACTGCGTGATTACAGGCCGACTGCACCCAGCTCACCTTTGAACCACAAAAACTCCACAGTTCCGAAAGTTTTCAAACAAACGGCCGACGTGACATGAGCTCTGCCCGAATCAGATGTTGCTGACGCTAAAGACTGTATACCTTTCTCTGGAGTTGTCAACTCTGAGTCACCGGTAGCCAAGCCCATAGTCTCCTGAAGAAGCTCCTGGAGTTGGGGCTGGGATTCTCAACTCTTCCAGTCTCCTACTCACGCGCACAGAATGACTGTATCTTGCATCCTCCACAATCCCCTGAAATTTTGGAGCAAGGCAGCGACTTTTAAGCTTCAAGCTCGACACCATCTTCACAGATGTTCCCACTGCGAAATCATGCGGAATCCGTCCCGAAATGCCACAGTCTGAGACAGCGCCCGTGCAAAGATCTGTGCCTCAGGCAGCAAACTGAGAAATACTGCGTGAGCACGTGCTACCAGTTTGCCGTGCTGTTGCTGTTGGATCTCATGAGATTGAAGTTCGAATAACACCGTAACTTTATTACGACGCGAAGTGCCCCCGAAGCAAGCACGATAATGCTGTAGCTGCACTGTAGCTGATGGCGTTACTGCATTTAGGTCTTGAGGTTACGTGAAGTCAAAGTTTATAAGATGTTCACCCGGATCAACTGGACCAGCAGACTATCTTGAGCCCTACTGTAATTATAGAGCATCATCGCAGCCAGTGAGTTGACCTGACACCAGGTCCCACCGGCCCTCGTCTGCAGCTGACTTGTCCCTTGCCGGTGCCTCCGGTTCCCGGCTGTGGACATAGGCATGCACGTCAAAGCACCCGGCCACCGCGCCGTCCTGAATGCTGCAAGGGGGGGGGGAGCAACGTGAAACTCAAAAACAGACAGGAAATGCCCACGAATGGCTGTCCACTCCGGGGAACGAAATACTCAGATGTTGGAGTCATCCCAAACTTCGCACGATAGCAGGACAGACGCGAAGTGTTGACTCCATGGCCGACCACTTCCATGCAGCATGACTCAAGGGAGTCCAATCCCGTCCATGCAAGACATGCAGCTAAAGTTGTGCACCTGGCGGTGTGATGCTACAGATCATGTTCCCAAACGTCCTCCGGCTGCGTGTAGAACTGTCGCAGATCCGTCACGAGGGGCGCGATGGAATGGAAGAAAACTTTCTGCACCTGTCATATACTGGGAAGGAGGGCGAGAGGGGAGGGGAAAGGAGGTAGGCTTGGCGGTGCTTGGCGGACCGACATGGACGAGCCGGCATGTCAGTCACTGTTGACACTCCTACATGATCATGACTGCCGCTATATATAGGCTACAGCTCGTGTGTTTATATATACATATACATATATATATATACATACACATATACATTCACACACTATCTATCTATCTATCTACCTACCTAGCTAGCTAGCTATGTATACATATATATATATACATACGCACACGCAACCATATGGTTGTGAGCTGTGCCCCCAATGGTAATTATGGGTCTCAGATACAAGGGCCTGGACCACAGGGAGGGAGGGCGGGCGGGGGTTCCCCTTCCTCACCTGCAGCACACGGATGCAGAATCACAGAACCGCGGAAGCGGGCTGTCCCGTTCGTGGCACAAACCGGGGGCGATGGGCGGGAGAAACGAGGTAGAGATGAGGACACATACCACATGCCCCAAGGCAGCACCCCCACACGGGCACAAGGACATGTAGCACTTCCTTACCTGGACAGCGCATACGAAAAGAGAACCGCACCTGTTCCACACACGCAAGGCGGAGTATAATTGGCCCATAGGAGAGAGAGAGACAGAGAGAGAGAGAGAGAGAGAGAGAGAGAGAGTGTGTGTGTGTGTGTGTGTTTGTGTGTTCTGGTCCCTATATGTATGTATGTACTGTTGTGTATGTCTACACCGGGCCATACATACACCACCGCGCGTCTGTGTGATATGTATGTATGTATGTATGTATGTATGTATGTATGTATGTATGTATGTATGTGTGTGTGTATGTATTTATGTGTGTATCTACGTATATATGTATCTGTGAATGTATGTCTGTCCGTCTGTCCGTCTGTCCGTCTGTCCGTCCGTCTGTCCGTCTGTCTGCCTGTCTGTCTCTGTATGCATGCATGCATGCATGCATGCATGCATGCATGCATGCATGCATGGATGGATGGATGGATGGATGGATGGATGGACGGATGGATGTATGATGTATGGATGTATGGATGTATGGATGATTTCACACGTTATGGTCCATATATGTATGTACGTGCTTGTGTCCATGTCTGCAAGTCTACACCGGGTCATAAGTACATAGGCACATGTGTGTGTGTGTGATATGAATGTATGTGGTTGCGTGCGTCTGCATACACCGGGCCATATGTACACAGGCACATGCGCGTGTGCGCCCCTGTGATCCATTAGAAACGAAAGTCACGCGATCATACCACTTCCTGAAAGGGACAGCGCACACGGTTCCAGAGGCAGAAGAAAGGGAAACCAAGTCCTGTTCCGGGGGGGGCGGAGGTTCTCCTTCCTCATCTGGACCACACACACAGACGGATGGAGAATCACAGAGCCACAAGTTTGTGCGTGTGTGTTATGGTCCATATATGTATGTACGTGCTTGTGTGTATGTCTACACCGGGCCATACATACACAGGCACATGTGTGTGTGTGTGATATGTATGTGCGTATACACCGGGCCATATGTACACAGGCGCATGTGTGTGTGTGTGCCCGTGTGATCCATTAGAAGCGAAATTTACGCGAGCAAACCACATCCCGAACAGGACAGCACACACAGTTCCAGAGGCAGAAGAAAGGGAAACCAAGTCCTGTTCCAAAAAGGGGGGGCGGGGGTTCTCCTTCCTCATCTGGACCACACACACGGATGGAGAATCAAAGCGGGCTGTCTCGTTCCAAGGTGGGGGGGAATACATCATGATCCGTGGGTACTTGTAGATGACATGAATCATGTGGCGGGGGATGGGGAAGGGCGCATGGATGTAGAAGAATCACAGCGCGGGGGCCGCAGGAGAAGGAAGGATATCCCGTTCCACAGCAGGGGGGAAACATGTATCGTTATGCCTGTGTGATTGTATATAAACTGAATTGGGGGGGAAGGGGGGGGTGGGGGCTCGGCGCAAATATATATATATATACATACATACATGCAGACATACATACATGTGTGTGTGTGTGCGCGCTCGCATATGCGTGTGTATATACAGTGTGCGCATTTTTTCAATGCCCACGTTCAGTTTGATCACGTTTGCATATGTATGTACGTATGTATGTATGTATGTATGTATGTATGTAACTAGGCATGCAGGTATGTATGTATCTGTGTTTGTTTGTACAAACGTATAAACGTAGGTGGGCGCCGGATTCAAGTGTTCCCTGTGAGTGTCTACAACATCCTGATTTCTTGTGCTTCCCACCTTGCTGGGGGTCTTTACAGACACCACGCAGGTTCTGCTTCCAGAAAGACTTGCTGTTGCTTTTTTGTTAAAATCCTGCGAAATTACCTATTGCTCAGCTCTGCAGTACGGCCGAATATTTAAGATGCCCATGGGCGGTCGGCACATTTCTCCGACAGAATGACCCGGCACTTAAGACTTAACCAACACACCCATGCCGGGCGCGGGGCCTACTGTACAGATTTCAGCCTAACCAACTGATCTTATGGTAACCGAATCACCAGATTCCGACTGATCTTATGGCAATCGGTAAACACCAGATTCCGGCAAAGAAATCGCCTTTAAACACCAGAAACCTCTGCTTCTAGTAAAACCAAGGTATGTCTTAAACCCCGCGCTCGGCTAAACATATACCTATACATATACATATACATCTACGCAGATAGACAGAGAGATAGCTAAGTAGGTAGGTGGATAGATATATAAATAATCAGATAGACAGGTACAGGTACATAGATAGGTAGGCAGACAGACAGACAGTGACAATGGATAGAGATATAGACACGTGTGTGTGTGTGTGTGTGTGCGTGCCCACCCCATTTTGGACTCGAAGCCCGAGCTGTCGCGTGTTGTATTGAGCCGCAGACGGAAGAAATAATATTCCAAAAAACTCCCGTTTCCCCCAAGCACAGGGATAAACTAAACCCGTTCAGGTTTTGTCTTGGTGGGACTCTTAGACAAATCGAGGCTAGGTCTGGGACCTGTCGACGACAGGCCGTCTGGTAGTTCAACGAAAAGATTACGGTGTCCATGCGGCGCTGCAAACCAACGGGCTCTTGGTTCATGAGAGGTTTCTGGGCACCCTGAACTACAAGCCCTTCTTGCAGTGGCCCCAGTGCATCCAAATGTGCCGGAGCTGCCGAGAGCCATGCGAGCAACGGCTCCACAAAGAGGCTCAGCAGGGTGCTGAAGACGAGGGCTGCCGACCTAAGTTGAAGCAACTAACTAGTCCTGGCACTATCCAGAGTACGAGCAGCAATTACCTTTCCGGTTTTGATGCGCTTTTTGGGGCATGGTTTAGGCTTCAGCTTGGTCGAGGGTTTCAGGGTGGTTGCCTTTCGCGGCTGCGGTTGCCCATGCTTGGCCTTTAGCGCCTATTCTGAGTTTTGGGGCTGAGGGCCCAAATGGGCCTATAGAGTTTACGCACTTTGCGGATCTTCTCGTGTATGAGCTCCTTCACGGGATTGCCGCGCTTTGCTAGCACTTGGGTGTCCACGTATATCTGCAGGCACGATGCTCCGTAAAGAAAGCTTGTGCGGCCCTCCAAAATAAGCTGAAGGGGGTTGAGGGTAGCGGGAAGGGGGGCACCCCCGCCCCATTTGCATAATAGCCATAACAGCAGCAAACCCGCAATCATAACAGCGAAGTAGTACCAATGCTTATTTAGTAATAGAAATAATAACCATCATAATTGCAATAGGAAGGAGAATAATAGCAACAATAATACCGGTAAGAATCGCAACAAGAGCAGCCGGTGCAATAATAATGGTAAAACAAATAGCAACTAGTAGCAGTCACAACAAAAATAGCAGCAATCGTAAGAATGGCTGGCAACAGCGGCAATAATAGCAATAATCGTGAGACCGATAGAAAACGGCAATATACAAACTTTGCCCTCCTTGCACGAAACAGGCATTGACATGAAATTGGACATCACGCCATGAGACGGGAGAGTTTAGAGCTTAGGGTCTCGAGTAGGGGCCTAGGATCGAGGACATTTTGGGCTTCAAATGAACTTGTTGAAGTGACAGTGAGAGTTCCAAGGCGTGCCGTACTAAAGGCTTGATGCTAAAAGCCTTTTAGCCTTTCAGATTCGGCGTCACATCCTGCAAACTTCAAAACCAAACTCCAACCTCGCACACTTTGCAGCCACGTCAGGACTTGATGGTATGTTCATGCTGAGTACGGTATGCTTGCTTTACATATTTGTTTTTGTACCCGTGGACTTCTTTAACGGCAGGATTGGACAAATCCTTTGGTTATGTTCATGCATTTTGTTGCAGTTACCTGCTATATAAACCATCTTAATAGTCCCAGCGCGTCCAAGCCACATAACGCTCAGAGATGCCCTCGGGTAGTCGTCTGTGTAAAAGATCTTCATGTAGCCCGTCTTGAAGTATCTGGCGGCAGAAAATTTGAAAATGCCAGCCCATCACCGCCACACCCTAAACACAAGCCTGCAGCCGCTTGCCCTCTTTCAGGCCGACGTCTGGTTTAGACAGGCATCCAACTCAGGACTTTCGTGCCGACAAAAGTCCTAGCTGCCCCTGCGAACTCTGAACACGAGGAACACACTAGCACTGATGGTCGTCAAGCTCTGGCATACCCTACAATTAAACATTGTTGTCAAGATGCCGGAACGCGAAGATTCCAAAGGTGGAAGCAGTGGCCATCGTCTTAGTCCAACAGCTCAGCTCCCCAAAGTACTCCTGGTGTTGGATTCTGGGTTTCGCTCTAAGTGTTCTAGACAGTCACAGTTCGATCGTGGGCTAAACCATGCTAACAACAACTCGGCACTCCGAGCTTACAGCGTGCAGCCACCAAAGCAAACAAGCTTGTACAAGGCACATGTCGCAACATGCCACTCGGTTTTGACATTTTGGATGCCTCAAGTGGCTGGTCGAACGGCGACAGCAAAACCCCGCTGTTTCGAGGGTGAAGAGGGTGCAGCAATGGCACTACAAACGTACGC